GGAGGAGAGAGAGAGGATGTATAAGATACCATTACATGTACATGTACATTATGATTACTTTGTTGTTAACTGATGCATATACCACTGGTTGTTCTTGTGTTGGTGCTGCCTGTGGTCTCTTCCCTTTAGCAGCAATAGCCAGATCAGCATACACTGGCTTATGAGCTGATTCATCAACTAACACCTATTGAATATAACAACATGAACTTTAATTACTAATGTACATACCTTATGTACTAATATACCTTATACTAATGTACATACCTATACTAATGCATTTACATGTACTTATGGTATGTGTGTATTAGTTACTATAAGGTGGTATGTCAGATTACATAAGGATAAGTTCACCTTATTACATTAAAAGCTAAAAGGATGTACTCAATTCACCCATTACCCCTCTTTCCTTCCTTTATATGATACAATACATTATGTACATGTAGTTCATTAAACCCAATACATTATGTACATGTAGTTCATTAAACCCAATACATTATGTACATGTAGTTCATTAAACCCAATACATTATGTACATGTAGTTCATTGAACCCAATACATTAAAATGTACATGTAGTTCATTAAACCCAATACATTATGTACATGTAGTTCATTAAACCCAATATATTATGTCAAGAGTGGATTATGTACATGTATCTATCAGAAATGGGGTAATAGTAATAGATAATAGTAATAGTAATAGTAAAGATTACATGTTTTGAAGTAATTGTAATAATAATAGTAATGGAGGAATCAAAAAACCAAGTAATAGTAATCGTAATAGTAGGAGATAGTTAAGTAATAGTAATATAATAGTAATTGTACATATTGTAATACATTATTGTACAAGTATTCAATGTACATGTACAGGTACTTGTATGTGCATTCAAGTCTGTCTGCTCTGACAAAAGGTTCATCTGCTCCAGTGGAATGATTATTCAGTATGGGAGGGAAATTTTTTAGACCGGAACAATGCAGACTTTCTCATACTGTTTTTGAGAAAGTAAAATGTGATGGTCATTTGCTTTAAAGAGAATTGATTTGAAATCATAATGTAATCGTAATATAATTAGACTACATTTAGTCATGCATATGCAGTAATAGTAATAGTAATAATGAAATTAGTGAAGTAATAGTAATAGTAATATATTACATTTACATCTACTAAACATGTAATTGTAATAGTAATAGAATTTTTTTTCTAGTTAATAGTAATAGTAATATATTACTTTCTAATGTAATTGACCCCATGTCTGGTATCTATACCTGGTTGTTGGTGTTTTTATCAATGGTTGAATATAGTCCAGTAACACCAGTAGACAGACCCTGTTGACCCTTATTCTATTAATAATACATTATATGATCCATTTTTAAAAGACTCTCTCATTAATCACTGACCTCTCCCTCTCTCTTCAATACAGAGTATTCCTGTACTCCCTCAGGATTATAGGCAGGAGGGACAGGAGGAGGAGTATCATCGTCTTGATTGAGTGTTGAATAAAGTGGACCAGCTCCTTGTTGTTGTTGTTGTTGTTTATTCTTTTTCTATTATACATTATTGTTATTGTATGTCTGGTATTTTGTTTATTATACCTCTCCCTCTCTCTTCAGTTCATAGTATTCTTGTACTCCATTAGGATTATAGGCTGGTACTGGTGGGGGAGTATCATCATCATCACTGGCTCTAAGAACACTGTACTGACCTAGTGAATATTGTATATTAATAATAATAATGTATATATAATTACTGAGTCTATACTTAATACTGTTCACTATAGAGCATGTACTTAAGCACGTTGCCTATCATGTCCTCTTGTCTATCATGTGCTAGTTCATTGTATCTTACAGTCAAACATATGATTACCCTGTGTAGGCTGTTGTCAGCTTATTGTGTGGTACATGTATACACATATGGTTCATGTCATGACAGGTAGAGGAAGGTTAATGTTATTCTTGCTAATGTACACTAAATGATGACTGGATGTAAGTATGTGCTGGGTATATGGTGTATGTGAATTGAATTTATTGTATTAAAGTGATGTCATTGTATAGCTTATGTACATTATGTTTATTGTACATACACTGAGCTGCTATTTAACATGTACTTGAAAATTTGTGTGTAGCGTTTGTACACCGCAGCCAATTTTTTTGTTTATAAACTTTCAATGTACTAGCTCTTCTGTAAACTGCGCCAGTATCACTTTAATCAAGCAAATACGGTATATATATATAAATAGAGAGTAATCTATACAATTTTTGAATGGTTAACTTATAAACTTAACCCTGTCTTAAACTATCAATACTGTATAGCAGGAAATTTTGGAGGGAATTAAATTTGGTGAATTTGGTATTTTGATAGCCATTCGCCAAAATAAAATCTGCCATTTTGATCCATTATACGCATGCTCAATGGCACGTGGCCACTAATTTGCCAAATTAAAATCTGCCAATCACCAAAATTTAGCAATTTGCCAAATTTTAGTCCCTCCAAATTTCCCGCTATACAGTATAAACAACTAAACATTTGACTCATTCTAAACAAGCAAGGATATACATGTAGTAGTAACAGTTAATTAATTGAAGTTAACTCCACATGTTGCAATTGTTCTAGTGACTTAGAGAGGCCCCCATGATGTTGCATTGAGTATTATGCTCGTGAATATCATTTGCATCTCATTACATTATTTTGTCAATAATCATGTTTTACACAAATTTTTGAGTAACTTTAAAAATTCATAAAAATCCAATTTTGATCAGAATCAGCTCAAACTTGCTACACAACATAAGTACATGTACATGTATCAGAAAATATTATAAAAACTAAGATTTCTCTCACTTTTCAATTTTA